AAGTCCTTTACACAGAGACACCAAAGGTGGCTGGACCATGGTAACAAGAAACAACAACAACAAAAGAAACATAGCAAAATGGCAAAGATAAAACCTGGCCTATCAATAATTACACTTAATGTGAATGGGCTAAAATGTACCAATCAAGAGAAAAAGAGTAGCAAAATGGATAAGAAAACAAAGCCCATCAATATGTTGTCTACAAAAGACACATCTAAGAAACAAAGAGAAAGATCGACTCAAACTCAAAGATTGGAAGAAACAGATATCAACCAAACGGCATCCACAAAAAAGCAGGAGTGGCAAAAATAATCTCCAATAAAACATACTGCAGAATAAAAACCACCAAAAAAATAAGGAAGGGCACTATATAATGATTAAAGGGACAGTAGATCCAGAAGACATAACATTGATCAGCATCTATGCACCAAATGATAGATCTGCTAAATGCATAAAACAACTGTTAATAAAATTGAAGAAAGAAATAGCACCACAACAGTGGAGATTTTTAACACACCACTCTTGGCAAAGGATAGGTCAACTGAAAAGAAACTTAACAAAGAAGGAGATGATCTAAATTACACCGTCAGCCAACTTGACCTTATGGATGTATTCTGCGCACTGCACCTAACTAAAACTCAATTCCCTTCTCAAATGCACCTGGTACATTCTCTAGACTTGATCACATATTAGGGCACAAACAAGCCTTAACAAATTAAAAAAAATTGAAATAATACAAAGTATCTTTTCAGACCAAAAGGTCATAAAACTAGAAATTAATCACAAGAGGATATGATAGCTAAATAACACCTGCTAGAACATGATTGAGTTGTAGAAGAAATAATGAAATAAAAAAGTTCATAAAAATGAATTATAATGAAAATGTTGTTATTGTTAAGTGCAGTTGAGTCATACATGACTCATAGTGTGATCCTATAAACGAAAAACCTGAATACTTTGATAACTTTCATAATTTCTCTAAGTTCATAGAGTTTCTCGAGGCAAGCTATTTCAGAAGAGGATGCCACTCCTGCTTCCAAGCCTCTTTTAATCTGGGAGCTCCACCAAACACTGTCCACCATGGGTAACCAATATCGCATTAGACACATCAGTGTCACAGTGTTTAACATCACAACAACCATGAGTTATCTTTGTACAACAAATTGACAGAACAATGCTATACCACTTAGAAGACATGACCAAAAAGAATTAAAACCAGGCCTGAGGGCAGCAGATTAAAATCATCCACCTTTGGCTTGGTAGCATAACTTTCTATCCACTAAGCCAATAGAGCTCCCTGTATGACTCACAGCAATTCTGTGAACAACAGATCTAACCCTTGCCCTATCCTACACCATACCCATAATCAGACATGCTCGAGGTCATTGCTACAGTCACCATATCAATCTATCCTGTTGAGGATCTTCTTTTCTTCTCTGACCTTCCACTTCTCTCAGCATGATGTCATTTCCAAGGACTAGAACTTTAAACTGTTGTTTGTTGTTGTTAAGTAGCATCCAGTCATAGAGGACCATAAGTGACTCATATAGATACAGTGTACCAAAACCTCTGGGATGTAGCTAAGGCAGTCCTCAGGGGTCAGTTCTTAGCAATGTTGTTGTTGTTCTTAGCAATGTTGTGCCATCGAGTCACTTGCGATTCATAGAGACCCTGTGTACAACTGCCCTAACCTCTGCTCTGTCCTGTGCCAACTACACTGTCTCTGATACACTCATTCCGATTACCCCAGTCACTGAATCAATCCACCCCATAGAGGGCCTTCCCCTCCTGCGCCGTCCCTCCACCCTACCAAGCATGATGTCCCTCTCTAAGGACCAATCCCTCCTCACAACATGTCCAAAATATGTTAGACGAAGCCTCAGAATCCTAGCCTCTAGGGAGCTGCCCAGTTTAATCCTTTCCAGGACAAACCTGTTTGTTTTCCTAGCAGTCCCTGGTACCCTCAATACTCTTCTCCAGCACCACAGCTCAAAGGCATCAATTCTCCTTCTTATCCTCCTTGGTCACTGTCCAACTCTCTGATGCATAACAAGTGATAGCAAAGATCATGGCCTGTATCAGATGCACCTTAGTCTCCAAAGAGACACCACTGCACTTTAGTACTTTTGAGAAGTCCCTAACAGCAGACTTTCCCATGGCAATACGTCTTTTAATTTCCTGGCTGCTGGTGCCAAGACTGTTGACTGTGGAGCCAAGCAAACTAAAGCTGTGAACAATTTCAATCTCTTGCT